AACTAGTTTTAGTTCCATCCTGTTCATTTGAATGTCAGGCAAACTAGTTTTAGTTTCATCCTGTTCATTTGAATGTCAGGCAAACTAGTTTTAATTCATCCTGTTCATTTGAATGTCAGGTAAACTAGTTTTAGTTTCATCCTGTTCATTTGAATGTCAGGCAAACTAGTTTTATAGTTTCATCCTGTTCATTTGAATGTCAGGCAAACTAGTTTTAGTTTCATCTTGTTCATTTGAATGTCAGACAAACTAGTTGTAGTTTCATCATGTTCATTTGAATGTCAGGCAAACTAGTTTTAGTTTCATCCTGTTCATTTGAATGTCAGGCAAACTAGTTTTAGTTTCATCCTATTCATTTGAATGTCAGGCAAACTAATTTTAGTTTCATCCTATTCATTTGAATGCCAGGCAAACTAGTTTTAGTTTAATCCTATTCATTTGAATGCCAGGCAAACTAGTTTTAGCCTCATCTTATTCATTTGAATGCCAGGCAAACTAGTTTTAGTTTCATCCTATCCATTTGAATGTCAGGCAAACTAGTTTTAGTTTCATCCTATTCATTTGAATGTCAGGCAAACTAGTTTTAGTTTCATCCTATTCATTTGAATGTCAGGCAAACTAGTTTTAGTTTCATCCTGTTCATTTGAATTTTAGTTTCATCCTATTCATTTGAATGTCAGGCAAACTAGTTTTAGTTTCATCCTATTCATTTGAATGTCAGGCAAACTAATAAAGTTTCAAACTATTCATTTGAATTGTATTCTATTCTATTTACAGCGGACCTGTACGATATTCTTACCCAGTATTACCTCCAGCCCAATTTGTACCAGAATGCTTTTTACAACCCCCAATTGTATGGTGATAACGACTTTTACGAGAATTCGTTTTATGGTAACGATTTCTATGAAAACTTATATGGAGACGACTTCTACGGAAATAACTATGGAAATAATTTCTTCGACAAGAAAAAATAAGCACGCTGATTTTTTTTTAATTCATCGTCTTTCGAAATATCTTAATCTAATATCGTTCCATCCACTATGACTTTTTTATGATGTCTTATAGATGTAAATAGTCTTCAGTCGTATTAGAAATGTACGAAAATCATATTTCCTTCAAAAGATATCTCATACTAGGAATTTCCTTTCCTATATCTATAGATATCTTTATATATGGTAGTGTCTCAAAACAGATGACTCGTCGGATAATTCTGGACACACATGGATTTGAAGGCTCAAATTTCGACAGTGAGCTGTGAATTTAGTACTTGTTGGTAAATTATTCAGACTAAAGTATGATTGGTCAAAAAAATTGGCTTACCTGTCCCTTTAAGGTAGTAGTTCAACATCTATTGTAAGTGTAAAAATAATCATGCTATCGTTTATTTGATGTGGGTGGTTACGTTTGAAGTCTACTGAAAGCGTTGCTAAGACATAACATCAATGAATTCCGTTATATACTTATTCTATTATATTCATGTAACCAAGTGTTTTCAATTCATTAGAAAATTTGTAATATCATTAACTTTATGTCTTTACTTTATAATCTGTATTTAGAATTTATATGAAAAAATCTTTTTTCATGCAATGGATTATATTTTTTACCTACAGAATTTGTTCAATGCAGCAATTCAAGTCAGGGAGTAGGGGGGATGCCAAGAAAATAGCACCAAATCAAATCTATTTTACAGGTATTTTTGTGGATGAACCCCCTCAGACATACAATGAGAGGCTTGTGTCTATAGCGCTTCAACATAACTGCAGCGATTTTAATCATACATCTGTGGTTCTAGCAATTCTACTAAAGCTAAGTGTTTTATGACGTTGCCCCCGCAAAGTTCTCATGATATACAAGCAAATTTCGCGGGGTGGCATAAAACACTAAGTTGTATTAGAATTGCAGGATCCACAGACTTCTGATTGAAAATTTGAATGGTGCAAATTGATGCTATCAATGCCCCCGATACACATAACAAATTTAGAAAACTTCTTTACAGTCCCTTTAAGTCAATCGCCATCTTCACAATTTCAAGCTATTACCAACTTCGTCTTATACCTTGACTGCACTAGCTATAAATTTTTACGGAACGCGGCGATTTGATTTGAATTTACGCAGCCAACCATAGCACTCACCGAACACTAAATTTTATGGCTTATTGTTTACAGACTTTAGGTCGAGGACTCTGGATTGATTGTTTCTCCTAACTTACAATCCAATAAAATTGCTACATTTCATGGTACAAAAAAGATTCTTATTGCAGTCAAGGTATAAGACGCAGTGAAGATTCAAGATAGAAACTACTAGTATGGATGAAGAAGAAGAATGTCGTTTTAAAGACTTTATTTGATGACAATAAAGAAACAGAATGAAAACATAACCTTATAAAACAAAAATATTTCAGTTTATATCAAACCATTCAGAAAATTCCATACGACATTTTGATAGTACCAAATAGATCAAAACACCCAATGAACAAAATTGATTCCAAGAGCAAAATAAAATCCCGAAACCCAACATCACAGTATCAACGACATTTGGGTCAGAATAAGGAATAATAAAGATTAAAACATTCCTGGGTTTTGTTGTAGACGCCGTTTGACAAAACGATCTTAGCGCTTGGACGTCCCAGGGTGTTAATTTCTAACACTTTTTTAGGACCGTATCGAGAATACCGTGCCTGAGTTCTATTTAACGACGATTCATCAATTTACATTGTAATCACCATTTTTTACGTTATGCTATTCCTTGGTTATTGTTGTACACAACGTTTCAACATTTTACACTGTCATCAGAATACTATTCTCTATTCTTGTTTAATCCTAATCGATATAGTAAGCCAAAAACAAAAATTGAGTTCTGTCTATTGGATGGTACTATCTCGCTTGAACGTTCGGCTTTAATAATATAAATATACAAAACATTGAACTATGAACTATGCACCAGTTATATATTAGTTATCGGTAATTACAAAAATTAATTACAAAGGTCTGGATTAGTAAATTATATAATTTCACACATTAAAACGAAAAACAATTTCGAATGAAAAAAGGTATTCAAATTATACTTTGGGGTCCGTTTGTATCTATGTCCCTTTGTTAACTGAAAATGCATTGACGAGCAAATATATGCACATGCGAGGACGATTCCAAACGTAACCAAGAGGAGTCCACTTTTCTAGAGGTAGAATAAATAGTCATTGCAACTAGTTTAACTATTTTAATGCAGTGTTCATTACTACTGACACTACCTAAACTATAAAATAGACTGTTCGTGAATAATCTTCGGATGTGCAAAAATGTCTTTGCTCGAATATACAACAATGATCTAAGGTTGCCCTCACATCATTGCGATCACTAGTCGCTAATGGTTGCGAATAAAAATAGCGATCACAAGTTTCGAACGCAACTCTTTCACAAGTGAGTTGTGAGCTGCGTTTGGAACTCATGATCACTTTTCATTACCACAACCATACGCAACTGGCAATCATTACGGCGAGAGGCCACCATACGAAGATTACAATAAAAAAGAAAATTTGAATAAAAGATAATAAATAATATGAAACACAACAAAACAGATATAACTTCTAAAAGTATTCAGTAACACGGAGTTCGGGGCTGATACAAATAAATTAAAGGGATTAGATCACACGCGGTATCTGAGACATTTAGTATGATCACTATTAAGATGAGGCACGAAAGACAAAGTGAGGGACAACATCAAAAAATAACACATCTTTAAAAAGTAAAATGTAATTATCAACACACTTTCAACCGTATCAATATAAAATGTCATAAATTATTTATAACACCTTGTCGCTAATAAAACATGTCGAGCTTTTTTTTTGAACAGTTTGTGTTTGTAAGAATTTTTTGGTCATCCTAAGAGGTAGTATACCTTTAAGATCGTCTGGCGTTCAAGAAATAATATCATATTAACAATAATTTTGTTGTCCAGTATAAAAAAGAAAAATCGTTTCAAAAAATTTATTGAGCTACAGCAATTCCTAATAAGAAATTTTATAAAGCATTTGTATGATCTTCAACCAATGACATTTTAGAAGCACAAGGTAAACTGTATCTATCCATAAAATTGTCTTATGTATTCGTATGAATTTTCCTTATTAGAAATTTGATAGAAAATGCTTAAAAATTAATCAAACAGGCCGTTTTCACTTTAGTGAATATAAACATTGATAGACTAAATTATAATGTATCGGTCTCTTCATTTCTTTTTGTCTTTCTTGGAATCTTTCTTAGACTCTTTCTTTTCTTCAACTTCCGCCGATTCACCAGCGGCCTCAGCTGATGGTTCCGCATTAGGAGCGGGATTTGGTTCTTCATTAGTTGTTGGTGCCGTTTCGTCAGATGTCACCAATCTGGTTTCCTCTTCGTCAAAAGGATTAGCATTGTTTTCTGTTGGTGCACCTTCTGTTTCTTTCATCTCTTGCTTCTCAACGTCCTCCTCGGCTTGTAGATTGGTAGCCTTGTCATCAGCTTGCTGGAATTGAATATGATTCATTGTACCAAATAGGCAATAATAGCATTGGTAACTCAGTCAGTCGATGATGTGGATTTGAGTCTTGAATTCATGTAAATAGTTTTCAGAAGTACTAGAAATGTACGAATGTATGACAGTGTCTCAAGAAAAGACGACTAGTCTTTTGAACTATCAAACGTGCATAATTCTGGGCAAACGTGAATTTGAAGGCTCATATTTTGACGGTGAACACTATTACTGATTAGCTTAACTAAAAAAATTCAAGTTTCTGAGTCTAGGGAACGATAGATCTAAAACTGGCACAATTGTCCCTTTAATCAAATCATCCTTACCTTGTTGCGGAATCTGACGAACATAATTTCACCAACCATGATAACCAAAGAAATAATGGCACCGAAGAAAAGGAGTAAAAGTGGAACTGTCATCTCTCGGTATGATAGAGAATAGACATTGAATGGTGGTGGGTCGTCACCAGTAATGACATTACCACCATCATCCTTGCTACAAACACCACTGTGGAACCATTTATCATAGATAAGCTTAATACGTCCAGTTTCTCTCATGCTCAATATACCTTGTGATAGTTTATCACAGATACCAGATCCTATAAAAAAACGAATCAGAGTTGCACTACACTTTTTTACCATTACAAAAGAAATAGGATCTTATAACATAATGAATCGGATTCCGTTTCACCAAAAATTCTTACGGCCAATATTGTCGCAAGTATGGTAGTAATGCACACTTGCGACATATTCTTATTGTATGATAGTCTCTGCTGACGCCCAAACTATTCCTATTCGAGGATATCGTCGAAGCTGTACATAGACAAAGAGGGATCGAGGGATTCATAAGAAACCGGGCCAAATTGCTTGCCCTTATTGTCGTTTAACAAACAAGATGAGATCGGTAACAGATCAAAAGAAGATCCTTTCATCCTATAAAGGTGGCAACGGAAAGGGCCCAGGTCCCATGAACGAAATTAATAGGATAGAGCAAGACCATCCTGTACAGACAGCAAGTTGGAAAGTTATGTAAGTTACAGAACAGTAAGTCCTCTTAATGTACAGGGATTCACCAAAGAAAATTCATGTGTTCCGTTTGCCCACAAGGAAATACTTATAATCAGATTATTTGGGAATACGTACCTTTTCTGCAAGCGAATGCCAAATTGATGCTGTTGAAGAGTTCTCCGAATAATGCCACATCACAATGTTTACCAGTAATGAAGGCGCCATCCGTTTGGTCGACAACTAAAGCATATTTCCCATCTGAATTTTTAACTTGGGTAATACCCTCCTCGTACGAATCGAGGAAGGAATTCTTTCTCTTGACATAATCCCACAGACCAAACCCACTCAATGATTGCATCCTCTCTACAGATTTCTCCTGGAAAGTGTCTCTGACTACCCCGACATACACCTCGTCTTGGTTCATAAGATCCTTGATGTCACTATAAGGTAGCTCTGACACCGAAGTACGTCTGATCAGCAAGAATGCGGTCAGGTTGGCAGTGTAGGCTATTATCATGAAGAAAGTAAATATCCACCAGAATGCAGCCAATACACGACCAGAAAAGCATCTTGGAGCTTCCCGGTAACCTGCAAGATGAACCAAAATGGTGCTCAAGAACAAATCCACCATACCTGAGCTAAACTCTACTGGGTACGCTAATGGTACGTAATGAAATGAAAGTAGGCCCTGCTTTTCATTGCTTTTTGAATGATTCATCCTAATATATAGTAGTGAAAAGTCGCTATTCGAGACTATGACAATAAGAAAAATCTAAAGCTTGCAATACGAACAGTTCAAAGTAAAACAAGATTGAACATTGGGTTACTTCCCTTTGAAGCATTCGCCATGCCACATCTTACGACAATTATTTTATTAAGTTTTTTTTTACAAATGAGCACTTAAGAACTCACCTTGCCAAGTTGCCGTACTAAAGACAAACAGGAAACTGTTCTTGATATTGAAAGTATCCACAGCAGCTCTCTTGTCTTTTTCTGGTAATTTTTTCAACCAGGAGTATGGACTCAGTCTGGAGATGATGTAGAACAATAAACTAACAATTATAATAGATAGAAGAATGAAAAACCATAACTCGTGGGTGAATGGCTTGGCCAGTAGACCGAGTCCCTCCCATTGAACTTCCGGTCTTTTGACCAATAGCTGTGTTCCACTGGTTATCACCGGTTTAGAGAAATCAACAACCTTTTCTCTTTCCAATGTTATCTGAAGTGGTCCTACTGCTACATCTGCTCCCTGGAAAATATTGTAAACGTTTGAGACCATTCAAAGGAGAAAAGTGGTTGGACTGGGGGACGCAACCAGCTATGTGGTAGAGGGTAGGAGGTTAAAAATTAGTTGAATGTATAAGATCATAGACTGAAAGACCTTATATCAAGGATACGATTCGACAAGAGCTTCTAAAGTTGGTGACCATGCTCATCCTTTTTATTCCACGGGTATAGCTCAAGAGAGATATCTCTTTACGCCAATTCTGAACACCCAAATCACCGTCCTTAAGGGCACATGAAATTCAAGATCTCTGCTTCCGAACGGCAAAAGCAGAGCTCATATTTTTCACAGTATATACAATATATAGGCTACATATTGCAGAACTGACTTTCGACTTCAATTACATTATATAAATTTATTCAAATGCAATATATAAACCTTCTGTACGACAAACTAGACACAGGATTATAATTGTTAAAAATGTTACAGATAGCTAAAAATCCAGATCTATCAACAAATACGCTCATCTTACCCCTCGTATAACATCTCCGATCATACCAGTCCAGGTACTATCGGGTAACTTGTGTCCATATCGTCCATCAGGAGTTGGTCGAATTCGGTAATCAAATCCAACCAATCCAGATATATCATTAATAACATCAATCATAAATCCATCGAAACGTTTGCGGTCAGTAGCTTCATGTACGATCTTTACATAGGGTGGGGCCTGAAATATAACAGCATTAGCTTCACAACAGTAGCGTGTTTATAGGTGGAAGGCCATAAATCTCGTGAAAGATCTTGAAGTGAAATTGCTCGCGCTTTAACTGTGCTCATTCTGGTAGGATTTAAGCGCTTTATTTAAAAATATTTGGTGGGATGGGGGGGGGGGGGGGGGGTGACCCCATCCAGTCCAATGTATAACTGAATTAAAGGGTATACTTACATCTATTGCAGCAATAACATAGTATGGTCTATCAGGGGCTAATGGTGATAGGTTAGCTGGGGCTGATGTGTTCACAGCCTGTAATGTAAAATACCAAATAAACATGAATATAAATGTAACCAGCCAGATTGGTGTTTAACAAAACCCACGTAAAAATGCCAAACTGACACGCCCAACTGAGTGCCAATTTGATAAACCCGGATACGGAGTATAAAAAACCCAGTGTTAAGAGGGTCAAGCTGCGTAAGTCACTTACAGTGTTCAGAGTTGACAAACCATGTAACGGGGTGCCAAGAGTGTCAATTTGAGAAACTAAGTTGTAGAGTGGCAATTTGAGAAACTAAGTTGTAGAGTGGCAATTTGACAAACTAGGTTGCAAAGTGTCAATTTGAGAAACTAAGTTGCAGAGTGGCAATTTGACAAACTAAGTTGCAGAGTGGCAATATGACAAACTTGGTTGCAAAGTGTCAATTTGACAAACTAAGTTGCAGAGTGGCAATATTGAATAAGCCACTTGTGAAAGTCACTTACAGTGTTCAAAGAATCGACAAACCATGTTATAGGGTGTGTCGAATTGACAAACCATGTTACGGGGTGTGTCGAATTGACAAACCATGTAACGGGGTGTGTCAAATTGACAAACTTAATTGCAAAGTGCACAATTCATAAATTCATCATTCCTAAGCGTACCCTATAAGCATCATACATGCAAGGCAATAAACTAGTTAGCATATTCATACATTGTTTACAATACTAGAAACTATTTTAAAGCGGTTGCGTCCCTTGATCTACAGACTATTATTGAATTGCAGTGTCTGGTTTCTATATAATTTGATTGCTCTCGTATATTTATATATTAATAACTCGACCAATAAAACCTTGTATGCAAATGACAAATTTAGTCCGCGGTATTTTCCTCTGTTTCGTCCTTTTTAAAGTTTTTAATTCAAAATAAAAAGTGAAATAAGTCGAAAGTGAGCCACCATAGGTTCGCCATTTAGTAAATACTGGTTACTATTTATGCAATTTTTTAAGTCTTCTTTTTTTCCCTCCAATTTTGAAAACTATACACTATAAGTCTAGAAAAAGTGTCCCGTAATTATCTGAAAGTTTTAACCAAAAAAAAATTGTGCCGTTAATTTTTTAACGCAAAACTATTTAAACGGCTTACGTAAACTTTTTAAGTTCGTTATGCTTCTTGGTAAGTGCAAGAAAACCATTGAACGGATTTGAGTAAAATAAACGCATAATTGTAGAGAAGTATGTCTCCTACGTATTCTAAAGGTTTCAATTAAAAATATTAAGTTTTTATGAACTCAACACCAAAATTAGTTTAGGATGCCTACTTCAACAAGTAGTACACGCTGTTCTTTGTTAAAACTTTTAAAACAAATTCAGTTTGATCAAGAAGATACATAGATATAAATAGCATTCTTTAGAAATATTTTCAGGTATAATTTACGACGTTTTTGATGTTAAAAATTTGGCATACTGCTCCTTTGAATTAAACACGATCTATATTACATTGACGAACTTCAAAATGCCACATTAATGCAAAGTCGGAAATGTCATTTAACGATTTGACTGTTTATTTACAATAGGACAAGTCAATAGTACGTTTCCTTCAAACTGTCTATTAAACTCGATTAAAATTTATTTTATTGTTCGCACGTGTTTATGTGTTTAAAACCTGACACGTAAATAAAGCCAGCAAGACGTTAGCTGATATATGATATTTCTAACATGCAGAAAATATTGACAACCGTCCAAGTCATAAACAGAATAGAAATTTTTAAGAAATAACTTCAAACACTGCAGCCAAAGTTATTACCAGTGCAGTTGGGGGTACACGTCGGAGGGCGAAAAATCGTTTGCACCCCCAATTGTACCCCCATTTGAGTTTTTTAAGAAACATATTTTTATACTTTTTCCCCAAAAAATATTTTTCGAAAGTAATTCAATTTTCGAATATTTTCTGTAAGAAAATGACAGGTTTGCGACTATATCGTCAGCACAGAGTTACTGCATTTTGAATTCATCCTCGACAGTTGTCCCCCTTTATTTGTACCTCTAGTCTCGAGAGGCTGGCGCCGCCACTGGTTATCATTCTATCAAGTATTAAATGGGTGTTGATGTCTGTAATTTAATGCAATGCATAAATAGAAATTTGAATCTGGCATTCCAATAGATGGTTATATTTATTCAACGTGTGTTCTGGTTCTTTTATACTTACAATTTGAATAATTACCTCAGAATATTGTTTTAGGAACAGTGGCGCCGCCAGACTCCCGAGACTGGAGGTATAAAAAGGGGGCAACTATGAAGGTTAGGATCCAAACGCCAGCCTCCCGAGACTGGAGGTACAAAAAGGGGGGCAACTATGAAGGTTAGGATCCAAACGCCAGCCTCTCGAGACTGGAGATACAAAAAGGGGGGCAACTATGAAGGTTAGGATCCAAACGCCAGCCTCTCGAGACTGGAGGTACAAAAAGCGGACAACTATCAAGGTTAGGATCCAAACGCCAGCCTCCCGAGACTGGAGGTACAAAAAGGGGGACAACTATCAAGGTTAGGTTTCAAACACAAGCCTCCCGAGAATGGGTGTACAAAAAGGGGGACAACTATTAACTACCTAATTATTTTTCGTTACGCCAGAAGTTCAAAAGTGTACCAGTTGACCGAGGGCATTGAGAAACACATCTAGAACACGTTATTTTCACCAGTAAGAAATGAGACCAAAAATAGTTATCTCGTCGCACGATCAGGTAATTAGCATTGGTATATTTTTTCAACTTAGTGTGAAATATAATATACATTTCTACAATTTTTTAAATATCCAATATGCATTTCAGAAAGCTGGTAATAGTACTACCGGATATAACTGATTTGATGATGCACGAGGTTCAACGCAGTTGTTATGTTACTTAGTTTCTTTTATCTTTTGATCCTATACGAATCTATTTTTATCATGACTTTACACAGGATCTCCTTCAAACTTAATCAAGGAATTTAATGATATGTATGCAACTTTGATATACAAAATGTAGCGCAAAATTACTCTCATTTATAATTTCTCGCTGTGCCTAATCATTTATACCGGTAAAGAACTCTCTACATTAGAAGTTAGTTAATGTCCCGTGTAGTATTTAAGTATACGTTGTCAAGGTAACACGAGGATATATATCACTTTTCTACCAAATATTTTCTCATATCTGTTACCGCCTCAATAAAAACTTGTTTATGAATGCATGATATATTATAGTTGTTCTGTTGTACCAAATATATTTCAAGCACAGGTTGGGTTCGCACAAATTATTGTTCTACGGGCTGCGTTCGTTATAGATTCATCAAATGCTGATATCGAAGGAAGAATTTACTAGTAAGCAATTTTGTCTTCGGAAAATTCCGTTCCTTTCGTTCATGCCCTTACTGACCAAAGACCAAAGCCGTTGTATGGAGCACATTTCTCTAAAGCTATGAGCATCCATGTTAGATTTTTTGGGCGTGACTAAACACTTGAACGGACTATTTTTTTTTAAATACAATGCCAAGTGTCATATCCCTACGCTAATGATCAATGGTTGCTCATCGTCTCACAATATGCTAGCTAATTGGAAACAAAATTTCATAGTATGTAAAACATATTATTTGGGCTACATGTTGTCAGCCGGCGTGATTACATGTATACTTAGAGTTAATCCTTTGACCATTTCACCTGATGATGACAATGTAGATTGTAGATTGTCGGAACGCTGTGTGCAATAAAACTAAGAAGTAGTGTACCATAAAATTGTGTTCTGTTATTAAATACTTAGAAATGACTCGTGCTGCTATGCAGAGTTTTAATCTTACTTAAGTCATTTCTTATATATAATATTAACGAACCATTTCTCGATAGATTACCTACTGCTTAATAGTATACTTTACAGCGGTAATTTGAGAAAAGTAAGTTAGTAGCTTCATAAAAGAATGCAAATAGAAGATGAATTTCTCCAATGCCACGATCCCTTTTCGCCAAACAGAACTAAAAATGAAAGTGATTTTTTTGTCCCACAGCATAGCGGCAACTACCTTCTCTGTCTGTGATGAGGAGTCTGTAAAGAACACTGAAAATATTGCACATGATCACTCGGGCGCATTATCGCATCCGAATGACAAGAATAAGTTTTGGTCAAAATTATAGCAAACACTTAAAACGAAAACGAGCTTGAACCCCCCCCAAAAAAACTTGTGTCGTTTTTTTATAATAACCTTAGCACAAATCTTCTACATTAATAACAAGCTGTGCTTATCTCTAGGGATTTAGGTGAAGAATGCAAACGTGTATATCATAATTATTGCTTAATGCAGCGATATTTAATTGTATGGTCCCAATCGAAGAAAATCTGCAGAAAATGTGTTTGGCATCATCCGCTTCTTATAAAGATAAAAATCTGTAATGTTATAATAACAGATCCATTCCATAGTCTATTAGTCAAATAGCCAAAATAAACATCTAAAACATGGAATTCTTACAATTTTTTAACATCAAATATTAGCTAGACCTTTATTTTTTTTCTATTATTTCTTTGAATCTTAAGATATTACAACAACAAATAAGGTAAAAACCGAACGTCTAAAAAACACAATAATAATATAGGCTTAACCGTTGACAAAATTGTACAGATTCTCATTTGAGCGTTACAGAATCTCATTTCAGATTCTCACTTCAGATTCTCGTTTCAGCTTCTTTTTTA